GAAGTCAAGCACCTCTCTAAAGAAGAAAAGGCTCTGTGGAGCAAGGAGCCAGCCTATACACCTCCAGGTATATCCAATAACATTTTCTCAGGTAATATGTAGCTAGTTAGAATCTTAAAAGTTTCACTCTTTTCCTTAATTTTAGGATATTGGAATCTTGACATGTGAGAGAAGAGCACTAGGAGAAATAAAGTAAATTAAAATGCTGATATTTTTGTTATAACTTTTATGTCCTTTAAACACAGTACATTTCTAAACAAAACACATTTAAATTATCTGAATAAAAAGAGTTGTATTTTAGCTTTAACAGTTTGATGAAATTCAGATAAAGAAGTCAATTGAAAAGTCAATTGAAAAGTATTATTGCATCTGCACAGACGATCTGCTGATTATGGTGCTGATGTCCCATAGAAGCCTGTAGGAAACAACAAGAAACAAATTGAGTTAAACTGAATTGTAAGACTGACAAAAACTATTACTAAGAGGTGGCTTGATTAAACATGGTCATAAATTTTCAAAAAGCTATCACAGTGGCTGAAGAGTCAATGCGCAATCAAATATTGTTACATTTATAAGTTTGTTTCAGGCGTGCGAAACATTTAACAAACTTTTCAAATGCCTACACACAAGCTAATTTTTGAATCAATTCCGTTTTTATTTTCATAAAACAAATATACGGGTCCCATCAAAACAAACAAAATAACATTCATCATCCATGGTCCAGAAATGTTGTGTCTGGAATATGGGTAATAGGTTAATACATTGGGTAATTTTATGGATACAGGAATGAACTCAAATTTTTCTATACTATGGGAAACAAGCCTTTAAAACAGCACACCCACAAATATGACTTTACCTAGAAAACGTAGATTCATTCCTATACTAATAAAATCGTGCATGCGCAAAGTTGGTTCTTCAAGAACACCTAACAATTTTTCTGTTGAATATTATTTTATGTTATATGGCTTAGCATCCCCTTAGAATGTAAGAAAGAACTTACCCTTAAAAAAAGTAAACCACAGTGAGTCATCAGATCCAGCAGTTTCAAGGGCTCGAGTCAAAACAGAAAACACGCTTCACATCGTAGAGAACTGCTACAACACCTGCAAACAGAAATTTGAAAAATGGGACAGTAAATTGCTAAAGGAAATGGTTCGGGCTGATCAGGCTATGCTTGTTACCAGCAGAAAGCATAATGGTAAAAGCGTTCAAACCAGAACGAGATATTATAGTTTTCTCCTCCCAGCTCTGATGTGGCCTGGTCCTTGGGTGCCCAGGAGCACTAGCCTAGCACGCGACCAAAGTAGAGCTGGGAGAACAGGAGGTCGTGAAGGATCGAACGCGCGTGAAAGCTTAGATAGCTATAAGAGTAATTATAAATCTACGAAGTGAACGGTGTACTCACTCGACAGACGGGGTACCCGTGGCACCCGAGACAAAAAAGGTCTCAGCCTACAAAGTCGGCCGAGATGACGACGAAGATAAGCTTTCGGCCGACTTTGGGGTAGGGCTTCATCACACAGAATCCTCACGACACAGAATCCTCACGACACAGAATTTAAGGGGCCGCTGCTTCACCACCTAGAATAAGTTTGCTTCGACTTCATCACACAGAATCCTCACGACACAGAATCCTCACGACACAGAAAATCACCACACAGAATCCTCACGACACAGAAAATCACCACACAGAATCCTCACGACACAGAAAATCACGACACAGAAAATCACGACACAGAATCCTCACGACACAGAAAATCACCACACAGAAAATGCTATTCTGTGTGGTGATTTTCTGTGTCGTGAGGATTCTGTGTGATGAATACACCCGACTTTGGGCCCTGAGACCTTTTTTCTGGGCTCAAATCTCGACTTCCGGTGTGTTGGCAGCACTGTCGGGTTGTCCAAGAAC